GAGTGGCCGGATTATTATATACACCGAGTGGCCGGATTATTATATACACCGAGTGGCCGGATTATTATATACACCGAGTGGCCGGATTATTATGACCACCTGACGTTTGTAGGCAAATTGGCTATAATTTGCCGCTGAAGTTGCTAGAGGGCCGGACCATTATAAATAGGGAAGCGGGTTGGTTACCACGACAGTAGAAGTGATTTGTTTCTGAAGATACGGGGAAACAACGCGAGATGCCGCAGCCAGAGCGGGTCCCGACATCGATGTCTGGATCCGCCCAGCTGCCTGAGTGACAGCTGGCTCTGCCTATCTAGAGGCAGAGCCAGCTGTACCCGCCCCCTCCCCCGTCCGTTCCGCCAGTCAGCGATGGCGGACCGGAGCGGGGAATCCAGCCCCTTTTCGAGCATGTTACCCTAAGATAAAAGTGGTGCGACCTTACAGTAGTAGAGGTCGCACGGCTTCCACGCACCTTACCATAATCGCACGATGACGCGGGATTTCCCGCCATTATCGCACGGTGTGTGTGGGCGCCTTTACACTGGTTCACTTATATGACCAATATTCCCGATCTGAAGGGTAATATATGCGTTTGCTTTTGGATCACTAACTTAGACCGCTGTAATGCCCATGTGTTTTGGGGATTCATTTAGTGCTGCAGTGTTTGCACAGATCATTCCGGTTTAAATTTAGGTTGGTGAGCACGATTCGCTTTTGACACACACAGACTTAGCGCAACATACTCTCGCGCGACATATCAAGGAACAAGAAGTCGCCTTGAGGAATTCAAGACAGAAGGTCGATTTTTCAGGGCGCTACCCTGTTTCCCCCGAAAATAAGACCTAGTACTATTTTTGGGAATTGCTAAAATATAAGACCTACCCCGAAAATAAGACCTTCCCCCGAAAATAAGACCTTCCCCCGAAAATAAGACCTACCCTGAAAATAAGACCTACCACAAAAAATAAGACCTACGCCGAAAATAAGACCTACCCTGAAAATAAGACCTACCACAAAAAATAAGACCTACGCCGAAAATAAGACCTACCCTGAAAATAAGACCTACCACAAAAAATAAGACCTACGCCGAAAATAAGACCTACCCTGAAAATAAGACCTACCACAAAAAATAAGACCTACGCCGAAAATAAGACCTACCCTGAAAATAAGACCTACCACAAAAAATAAGACCTACGCCGAAAATAAGACCTACCCTGAAAATAAGACCTACCACAAAAAATAAGACCTACGCCGAAAATAAGACCTACCCTGAAAATAAGACCTACCACAAAAAATAAGACCTACGCCGAAAATAAGACCTACCCTGAAAATAAGACCTACCACAAAAAATAAGACCTACCCCGAAAATAAGACCTACCCCGAAAAGACCTTCCCCCGAAAATAAGACCTACCCATAAAATAAGACCTACCCATAAAATAAGACCTACCCCGAAAATAAGACCTGCCCCGAAAATAAGACCTGCCCCGAAAATAAGACCTAGTGTGTTTTTTTGAGCCCCCAAAAAATATAAGACGGTGTCTTATTTTCGGGGAAACACGGTACTTGGTAACGATTAACACTTATAGATATTCCCTAAAAGATGGCAAACCTTCTGACAACAATCTATTCCTGCCAGTACCGGACATATTTACAGCACCGACCTCCTGATTGCGCGGCGCCGGTGAAGAACAGCAGGACATTGACGAGTTAAAAAAAAAAACTTTATTACCGGTCTCCGATTGGTCGGTTATGTACATGGCAGACGTCTCGCCGTCACCACATATAGAACTCCCTCTAGAACGGAGAGTCGGCCGCGCCCAGAGCTCCCGTCTGTATAACAGATATAGAGTCACATGACCTGACAAGGAGGAGTCACGGAGGCGGCATCGGTGGCGGCTCTTCCTCGTCGGTGTCAAATTCCACGTTCTCGTCCCGCACCCACTTCCCGCTGCCGTCCGGGATCCAGCCAGCGCTGCGGAGGAAGGGAGGATAGCTGAATGCAGTAACAGTATATACGGGGGCGTCACAAGGGGGGGTGCGGCCGGCCACCATTGGAGGGGTGACACCAAAATGCCTGACAGGGGGCGGACTTCAGCAATGCATTATGGGCGATCCTCCTGGTCTGGACCAGAAGCGGGGCCGGGCCCTTATGAAATGTCAGGCACTCGCTCACGGGCCGAGAGGAGGGTCATGGGCCGTGTCAGGAGAGAGGAGGGGACACAGTGGCATACCCCATCCCGCCGGGTGAACGTCCCCTCCTCTCGCCAAAAAGACCACCGTGCCTGCGCGATGACGTCATCGCGCACGAGCGGCGATGCTGTTGATGCGCGATCAAATTCAAGGCGGCATGCGTGATGACGTCACGGCGGTGGGTTGTCACCCGGTCCCCGGCAGTGAGCTGACAACGCTTCCATTGCTCTACTGAAATCCCAAGCAGCGTTGTCAGCCCTGCTTAGCTTTCTGGACTACAGAACTCCTCCCCCTCTAAAGAACCTAAGGGGGGGGGTGTATTGTAGACAATAGGCAGGACTGATAACCCTCCATTTTTGATGGATGGCACGGTCAGCACAGACAAAGAAAGGATCCCCAAAAACAAAAAGTCAATGAGCCCCCGGCAATGGGGCGCCGCTCACCTCCGCAGACGCAGGTAGTGCTCCAGCGCCCGCTTTTTTTCCGGGTCATCGCCGGGCGCCGCCTCCTCCTCCCCGTTCCCCGGACATTTCCGATCCTTCTTCTTGTGTCGGGCGCTTTTCTTGGCTTTGGGTTCCATACTGAGACCTGGACAGCAGAAGGGAAAACGAAGGCTGGCCATTAAAGGGGACCTGTCATCAGATATATTCTTTAATGTGTTAAATGTGTCCATCTACTATGTTCAGGCATCATCCAGGCCACATTGGGCTGAGATGCCGGCGGTTTATATTTCTATCAGTCTTATGTTTTTTTATGATATATATCTAAGCTTTAATATGCAACAAAGGATTCCTAAAGCACCGCGGGCCAGCTAGAGAGCACACTACATGCAGCTTGCTTTGTAGCCCCCTGTGTCTGACTGAAACAGCTGTAATTGGAGCTCTGTGATCAAGGGGGCTGAA